CACACACACACACACACACATACACCTATCCATCTCGCTCACCTAGGGGACACATTTCATTTAATGCGCACGTAATGAACGTAAACTGCCAAAACAATTCGTTACCCTTTCTCAGTGCATTTCCGCATTTAATGCACATTAATGTGCATGGGCGATACTAGGCTGAAAGCCAACGGGGCGCCTGGTTGGTAGGCAACGTTATGCCTGTGGTGCATGTGTGGACTGCCTCCTGAGTTGGCAGGCGCCGAACCGAATGATTACTAATAATGAATAAGCTTAGATGTTCTTCACAAAAATGTAAATGTGGTATGCAGAAATGGACCAATGAAATAATACAAATGAAATACAAAATTGCAGAATATATTTAAAATGATGCATGAGACAAAAACGAAGTTTTACAAACAAACGTCAGGATAGACAAATGAAATAAAACTTAAATACGAAATTGCGCAGAATACATTTAAAATGATGTATGAAACAAAAACAAAGTTATACAAACAAACGTCAGGATAGACATGTGAAATAACTTGCATACAAAATTGTTGAATAGAATAAAATACAGTAAAACATAACCAAGTGCTGGAAACAAAAGTAGGCAACTGCGAGGGTGAGAAAGGAGTTTTTTTGGTGAGCGTTCTACCTCTGGTGCTTTTCTTGGGAGTTATTTTCTGAACTGTTAACAATTTCATTGAAATTTAGCTCTTAAAACAGTTAAAGTTATGCTGTAATTTAAATTGAGGATGATAAAATAGTTATACCTGGTATACCTGGTTGTGATGTGAAAGCTTCAGGAAATAATGGTCTTTTGACATTTTTGAGCTGATTCATTGGCAGCGAAGTCGAAAGCTTTCTTTTACTATTTTGGCCTGGAAGCAAGATGATTCAGAGAGATATTGGCTCTGTTCCAAAAAAGGAAGAGAGGAGGGAATCAAAACTGCAGAAATATATTCACTTACGTTGTTTTCAACCACGACAAACACGGTGACTAGTGTCTACTACAGTAGAGCATGGGGGAATGGAATGGACGGACTTATTACAGGTGTTACATCTCTGCAGGCCAGTGACCTCCAAGTTGCAACTGCAGCATTGCTGCATTTGACCAGTAGCTAAGAGAAAATAAATATTGATTTAGATAAAACATGCAAGGTCTTTGAATAAGGTTCAAGGGATAAGTGTTGAAGAAGCCGGATTAGCATTTCATTTGAAAACAGCAAAAGAAATTGGAAAAGATCTGTGCAGTAACAATAAAACTGACACAACAAATACCAGTGAGGAATGATAAATTTTATACAGAGAACCAAGACATGTTACATAATGAAGAAGGTAAGGAAAGAGAAGAAAACCTCACTAAAGCTGCTCATACCAGCACCTTAATTTTAAAATCCAAATGTAGTTGAACTTGCTTACAGTTACAGCAAATTAGAACAGGCAGTGGGAAAGGCATATCACTACAACTGCTGCAGTAACTCACCAAAAATATCGAAGCCCATAAATGGACTGTTTGTCCTCAAAAGGACAGTCGAAGCCCTCAGAAGGGCTGGTGGAATCCTTGATAGGATGTTATTTGCCTGCATGGTAAAAAAACAACACAAAAATCCTTTACCCTCCCCCCCCTCCCCCTCTTTCAAAAACAAACCCTATCCCACTCATGAGAAACGCAGAAAAATGTGATATGCAGAACTGTGAAGTAATAAAAAGATTATAGTCAAAAAGCAGCTCACCACTTTGGTTGCAGGCAAGGCAAATCCTGCCCGAACCCCCGAAACCCTCTTCACCTTGGGGTCTGAGCACAGAACATCCGATCGCGTGCACTGGTTTTTTACAAACAGCACATTTATGTGCTGAATGTTCATCTGGAGGTCCACTTGAGGTGCAAACAGGGCACGATAGTCCTTAAAAAAACAAAAACCATTTTAATATTAGGGGGACTGCTCATAAGAAGTAAAAGTCCACAAAACTGATCTTAACTTTGTATACCTGGCATAGCACAGGTCAGAATGACCTCATTACTGTCCTCGTCGTCTAAAAGAGAAGATAAGTCCTTGGGTTCATCTAGAAAGACACAGGAAGATGTTTACTATTAACTAAGAATGCCAGTGAACAAGTATAGTCTAAGGATGGCTAGATTACATTGACAAATTGAATGAGAGGAAAAAACTTCCATACCAGTAAATGTTGCAGGGTCAATATTGAACAAAGTGTTCGCCCACCTCAGATACTTGCATTTTTTATCCGGGCAAGAAAAGTAAATTCTACCTTTCTGTCGATAGGATTTATTCCTGAAAAATAAATTAATTGCAAACAATGACTAAATATTTTCTGTTTTTGAAAGTAAACATTTAACAGATAACTAATTTTTTTGCTATCATCATGCAGTAACAATGTGGTATGTAGTAGTTCTTTGGCTTGTCCGGCCTGTCTTTGGGAGCAGAACTCTTTACATTGCCATCTACAAAGCATCAATCAGTTAACTATTTATGAGAAATATAGGCACCATATTATTCAATGTGAACACAACTTACCAACATCACTGTCCGACTCTTCTCCATTAAATGCACGAAGATGGTCCTTCTTTGTACTAGTTCCTGAAAACAATAATTTAAAATTACACACAATCTAGGCCCTAAAGACCCAAACAGATAATGTAAGTCCACAAAAAAGTTCTATAAAAATATGTACTTTTCCTGAGTTTGGGAATTGTTGACTTGTCCAAGCCATTTGGACGGCCAACTATTTTTAGTGCTAGGGGCAGTTTAACGACAGATGGGTTCACCTGTGCCTGTTCTGATGCAATAAGTTTTGGCTTTTGTGTTACTTTAACCGCAGTCTTCCGTAATGTTCCAATGGCAGTATGCAGCTGTCTCCTATTCTGTTTGGGTCTTCCTTTAGACTGTACTGGAGCGGGTAGAACTGAACCAGATGGAATTTGGTTCTTGTTCTGTTGGCCATCTAAACAGTCATCGAAGTTATTATTTTCTAAAATTTCCGCACATACACTTCTTACATAAATACCAACCAAATACAGTTTAAGCCTACCTGCAGAAACGTTGCCATCGAATACACACAAGATCTCATCATCAGAAATATTGAAAGACTCATCATTCGGTTCCTGTTTCAGAAGCGGTTGATGACTGTCACTTTTATCAGTATGAGTATCAAATGCTATTCGCTCATCAATTTCTTCTCCCTTCTTTGTAGTAGTGGTAGTACCATTAATTTCCTCCTGGTCTAGACCTGCACCTATAAAACAAAATAAGATTAGAAAAAAATTTGTTTGTTTCTGAGAATGATAGATTGAACAGTAAAAAATTCACGATGCAAACTGTCCAGATCTGGAAGGAAATACTCACCAAAACCCAAACTGTCATCATTGTCATCTTTTTCAAAAGCAATTACCGGTATATAGTTTTCAAGTTTATCTGGCTGTATTTCATACTCTTGGTGTGCGCCTACATCATCTCCTGCTGTTTCGCTAATTCCATCTTGAACTCCACCTGTAACCAAGGAAAAAAAAAAGTTAAAACCAGCACCTGAGAATAGATTAGATAGAAAACGATGCCATCAAGAAAACTCAGAAAGGCAAATTAAAATCTCCAGATCTGAAAGTGGGGAAACTCACTAAAATGTTCATCACTGTCACCTGCTTCACTATCTGTTTCAGCATCTGAACCTTTAACTTCCTCTCTCTCATCTTCTGATAAGTTATCACTGATATCATCGCTCTCTTGCAAATGTGACTTTTCTTCATTTTGTACCTGATCTTTTTCAACAGATTTGTCAGAGGTTTCTTCCGGTTCTACAAAAACTTCACCCTCTAATTTGTCATTATTCTCCTTCTCAATGGCAGCTTTAATTATGAATACATAGGAAGAAAATAAACATGCTAATAATATTAAAACTAAAAACCGTAATTATTCACAAAAAGAAAAACCATACTGGCAGGGAAAATTGCACTGTACAGTATTTTCCAGAGTCTAAGAGAGAAAACTCACCAGAATCAGTCCCATGTATAAGGAGCACTTCGTCATTCTTCCTCCAAGAATCAATGATGCCCTTTAGCAATTGAGTCCTTTGACCATACACTCTTGGGCTACATATTGAAAGGATATCCGCAAGTTCACCTGACAATTTCATTGACTCATTAAACTTTGCATGTTTTGTTTTAGGCTTAATGCTTGGTGCCATGCGTTCCATTATTTAATTGTTTTGCTTGCTCACAACAGCATTTGGGTCAGGAGCATTATATGACTTCCACCAGCGCTTGGCAACTAGTGATTTCTCATGAATAGGAAGCCCTGTGATCCAAAATTCTGGTGATTAATACATCATTCCAATTTTCAGACTCAGATCAAAAATGTAATTTAGAACCAACCTTTTGCTTGACGGAACCTCATTATGTGCCTGCATGGGAAGCCCATATTTTTGGCCAGATAACAAGAGCAGCTATTAATAGTTGTTGTGTAATATTGTTTACCAGGGGGATTTTTACTGAGATCCAGTTCAGCCCGAATGAATGAAGCCGCATACTCTGTGCAATCATCCAGAACATGTTGGACAATTGGGTCCTAGCAGTTGGCAACATATGATCTTCTGGCACACATAAGGTACTGCCTGTACCCCTTCTGATTCTGTTGATTGCTCAGAATAAGCCTGATATCTTCAATTGCTTTTTTAATGGTATTAGATCTCTCTATTATCTGAAACAAAAGAATTGTTCAATCTGCAAAGACTTTTGTCTCAAATCAACATTGCAAAACAAAATATGATAATAATTTCACTTACCATCTTTATCTTTTGGTTTTGGTTTTCAACTCTGTTTGTGGTGTCATTTCCCAGATTTGAAGATTCCAAGTTGTTTTTTCTGGACCATGCTTCTTGGCACTTGTGCCAATTTTTCTCAAAAGCAATCCGAAAAAATATCGAAAATCAACATCAAAACTCTTGGGGGGTTCCTATCCCTCACCCCCCTCCACACCCGTCTCCCCCATCTACACCATCTCTCCTCCTCACTCCCTTACCCTCCTCTCTCTCTCTC